GAAAACATTCATCTACGGTGTATAATTTCATTGAGGATGGTCTCAAAGGTCATGAAAATGCTACATTTATCATTATCACTTTTATGATAACACATACTTTAATCGGTCGCTCGAATATTTATATTGGTCGATGTAAATTTTAATATCAACTGGCGTAAACGTACCTGACCTGCGCAAGATAAACATTTTTCAGTGAAACGAGTGACTGATGACGGTTTTTATACTTGTTCACTTTTAACAGTTCGGGGAAATTGCTGAGATTAGCGTCACAATCCATGACTCATTGTCGTCTGTGTCGGCACAAGAACATTTTCATTGTCTGCTCTAGCACCGTACACCCGTATTAACTTAACTATTGTAAGCAGAGAATAAACAAAAAATGTAATTGTTATTATAAAAGTAGCCAGGTTTGTCACGTTCATGAATAATCTATTAAACCACCGGTATTTGTAAATGCCGAACAAAAAACAGAGTCAGTTTTCAATAAACCGTATTATTCAAAAGTGACGCTCTATCGGATACCCATTGATGTAGTTGAAACAGAAGCGGCATAGTACGAATTATTTACATTGCCGTCTGTCTAACAATTTGGGAGCGGTATCCGGAATTTATGGAAGACAACTGCGCTCGTCATAGCGGCTTTGTTTGCGGGCCGTTGTGAGCTGCCGGTAATCAGACGAGCCGGGACGGATTAGATGCGGTCGTCGGCCGGGGGGAGGCCAAAGATGTGACTGCGACTAGTTGAAACGTCTGCCAGCTCGTAATTTGCGGAGCCGACGCCGCCGTAGCGAAGGGTTGACCTCGTCTGGTGATCGCCCACTCAATTAAGAATTTCACTTAACCAGGCGACTGGCTTAATTGTAATTACAGGATTATCTTCAGCAAATACTCGATTGACTATTTACCTATTGCCTCCTAACTTAATCCACAGACAAGGTATAAGCAGTTCATATTCAACATGAACACCGACTACAGAAAAATTATTCGTCCAATAAAGTGTGGAAAGCGTAAAACCGGTGGTCGTTCAATGCTTTTAGTGAAACCCCACTTTATTTGATCCTGGTCGCTCTTAGTAAAGTCGAGGAGTGGCTGCGGGAGCAATTTTATTGCCTCTTATTGGCTAACGTTCAAAGTGACAACTTTAAAGACTGTACGAACGTATTGGACACGCGGCCGACGCTGACTTTAACAGACTAATGTGAGCTTCGTGTGTAATTATATTAAACGAGCAATGAAATCTCAATAGATCCACTTTCGCTTTAAATAAAGACGAAACACAATAAAGTCATGAAATGAAATAAGACACTATCCCGTTCCGAATCGAATTTGATTTTGATTCCTGGTCGTATCGAATTTATGTCCATCGAAGTTTGAATGGACAATAACTTTGTTAGTTCGAGGCGAGTGATCTTTGCTCAGAATTATAGCTGTATCCCGCGTCGCCCATGGTCGCTATCTATTCACAAGCATCTTATATAATTTCCTGATTGGTACCAGTCTTGCTTCCGACTACTTCAATGAATAATTAGATTCTTGTGAACTTATCGGCAGACATACACTGGCTTTTTGTTCTCCAATCATTTTCTATTACGTCTTATTGAAAGCTAGCGTTAAATAAGCGTTATGTTGTAGTTGTGTGCATAAAGTACAGTTGAAATTGCAACAGAGAATGTGACGTAAATACTGAGCACAAAGTCACAGCGCGGTAAAATTATGATTTGCAAATCTCTGCGTAGCGTCCCTTGCATTTCCAACAATCAAGTAGGAGAGCTTTGATATCTATATAGATGCTGTATAAATACTAAGCAGCATAAATGACATGACAAAGCAATTCCAGTGTCCTCGTAGCTGTAGTTACAGGCGTGTCCATTCCAGATTAAAAGCGGATCTTTAGTGGAGAGGGGGTGGTGGGGGGCGGCCGCACGAGGCACGAGGCAGCAACAAGCTGGGCGTCGAGACAGAGCCGGCGCGACCCGCCGACGCCAACAATCCCACTCAACATAAAACTAAATCTCCACAGACAACAAGAAAACGCAATAGCTCTCCACAAAAGACGTGAACACTGGCTCGAGTATCAATTCTGTGCTATTCGGCTCGTCGGGTTTGTGTTTTCACTAGCGACACACTAAGCAAAACATTTCATACTTCAGCTTCCTTCGGACGACACGAAGTAAAACTGTGCACTAACATTTTCATACGTAAGCAAATACAACTTCATTCCTTAGTTTTGTTAAAAGTTTCTGTTCCTTTTTAGTTCGTTTAACAAACATTTGCGAACAAAGCTTAAACTTCTTACTTTAAGCCATTTTGAATAAGGGTACGTACTTAAAAACGTAGACTTTCAAATGATAAACCAAGGAAATAGTTGGACTAACTTAAATTATACGCTCACTTCAAGAGTTCCATAAAACGGAATGAAACTTAATTTACGTTAAGACATGACAAAATTGACAATGAACGTAAAAATTCATGCGATCATTTAAACTGACATAGCTTTAACGACGTACTAACTCATTTTAATGGTGTAGACCACAATTTAGTGTTAGTCTTTACATAACGTCTCGGAAACGTTCCAATATTTTCAATACATACGTTACGTAGGTAGACACCTCGACGATAACCTTTACACGTAACGTAAGACAGAATAAACCCAATAAAGATATAATCTAATCGGCTACCGCCAGACTTACAGTGGACATAAGGTCTCTGCTTGTACTGTAACAAAAATATATATTTTACGCTAATTCCTCGCCGTGGCCCCACGCACACTAAGCGGATTGCCAGCTTATCGCCTTACAGGCATGCTCACCTATTTTTTCAATAGCAAAAAATAGTTTTAAAAGCATAAGAATGCTACTTATTGGGTGAGAAAAAAAACTATACAAAGCCCTGATCCTTGAGGCTTTCCTCGTGGGTTTTTCGAATTCCGTGACTCAAATAATTAAGTCCCCGAGATGGGAGTCGCTGGGTGAAATTATACATTGTTATTGCCCCCATAAATCTCATTTTGGGTGAACGCACTCGCTCAGAATAACAAATAAAGACAACAAAAATTTCATATCACAACGTTAAGGCGTTAATGTTTCACTGAATAACTATTTGAAACATTCCTCGCTTAGTGTAGTACTCGTAACAAAAACAGTGTGTGTGTAATTTATTTAGCCGTACGCTTGTGTAGGCGTTTCTGATAGACAAATTACTGGAATCGCAATAAACAACATATGTCAATGATACAGCTACCACGCCAGTATAAAGGCAAGCTGCTTTTAGAGATTTAAATACTTAACTTAATCTTTAACTATTGGCGTCTCTTACGACGTACGAATATATCGCTTTTCTTTCCTTAGAATTTTTCCTTTGAAACTTAATTCTCTCCCGGAGGGAATGGTGAACGTGAATGTCTTGAATATCGGTGAGTTTTAATTCGCGTTCCCGACGAATTGTTTATGGTAATTGTAGGTTCTTGTAGTAATCGATCTTGGTTTCAAATATCGCAGCTTTCAACGTAATTAACAATTAACATGATGAAGTTAATCATGGTAATGTTGAGGCGATTTCGTATTTAGTATTCTCCGTGGAATTTTTTAACGGTTAAAAGCGATTATGACTTCATTTGTCATTAGCACGATCACAGCAGCCTACGCTTGAATTTGCTTAGATTCTCAATTTTTCACCGTCAACAAAACGAATTTATACAAATCCGTTTGGAAAATAGAAACTTGCCAGATAAGACACGAGTATGTACCTTTCATGTACAACACTGCACGTAGATCTGTGTACTACACTATGTGCATGTATAAAGTATTCTAGACGTTTGCGAAAGTCTGCAGACACGCTTCGTCACGGCTCTCGGCGCACAGATGCCAATCTGTTATAGTCATATGTCTACGTCAGTGACGTGATGCAACACTCGGATCCTCGAGATATGTGCGCATCAGATATTACACTCCTGAATAGAACTTCTTATTAAAAAAGTACTAACTTATCGAACGTAACGTGGCTACGCAGTCCCATACATTTTGTATATACTCGAAAATGAATGTTCATTTTTCCTCCATGACCATATAATAAGTTATTTCCTAGTTCTATAGAATATAAATAATAATAGAAAATATTTGGTGTGATCTGATAATTTTTAAACATTTTCGTTTCGATACGGTCCATGGAAAACCGTTCTTACAAGTAGACTAATGAGGCAATTATTGCACTGTGCAGTAAATTACTGAATATACTTACTATGCTACTAAAATGTCTTCCAACTTAAATTTAGCGATCTAAACAAATACGGAAGACTTATTTTAGAGAACAAATAAAGTTTAACAACAGGCAACAGAGGGATACACAGTGTACGTAAACGAATTGCGCTTACAAAGTTCTCAAAATACATTCATGCCTGTCTATGCCCACTCCGTTATTGTAACCAAAGGGAATATATTTGCGAGCCATGTATTATCGAAACAAATGGCCGCTTTGCAGTGAAAGTTGTGCCGACATTGTGTACAATCACGACGATAGCTTCATTTATTAAATGTAAATATTCTTATGGCTTCGTTCTTTTGCAAGCGCTACGCATATCGTTCTAGGCTTTGTTCATTAAATATTTTGGCTTTTCCATAATGACTCATTTAACGCCGACGCCTAAAATGATTTTGCAGCCATCCAGAATATATTCCGATGCTTTGCACATCCCTCTAAAACAATAGAGGTGTTGCTTAACATGTTTATAGCAGCATACCTATTTCACACAGTTATATTCCTAGAAAACTACATAACTGTCGCCATAAAATACGCAGCTTAAATAGAATTAGAAATTAATAAACCCCTAAAACATGCTTCTTCTTGACCCCGAACAGTTAAATTTTATGAGCATAATATTGAAAGAATGTCTGCATTGTTCACAGAGCACCGGCGGTTGTCGTTCGGCAAGCAGCGCAGGCGCGAGCGCCGTGACGGTCGCTAGCGCGGGCGCAGGCGCGGGCGCGGGCGCGTGCGCAGGGCGCATGGCTAGCGCAGGGGCGCAGTATCGCGGCGGTGCGCAGCAGTGGGCGGCGGCCTATGCGCCGCAACCCTGCCGCTACCCGCCGCCGCAGCCGCAGCAGTACGCTGCTGCACCCAGCCCTTATACTCCACACCAGGTGAGTAACATTACCACCACTAACATCACGAAGAATTCAACAACACCACCTCATATCAAATAAATCAAAGCTGTTGGAAAACTAGAATTGCCATAATTACGGCGTGTAGTAAGATGTGTATTGTCTTTTATTTGAACTTCGACAACAAAGAGGACTCAGAGCTTCATGAAAGATTCGAAATGAATAAATAGTCAATCTACGCATAATGGACGTAGCTAACATATTCATAATACCTACCTATCAAAAGCTGGAGCTTCCATTACTTTAGATTTTCAATTCCTTCTGTGTCCTTCATGTAAAATAGTCCTTTTATCTACAACGATAATATTAACAGTCGTAGATAAGATTCCATAATAGGTCAAGTATAATTACTTCCACAATACTTTATGTTTATTCTTCTTCCGGCATTGTTGTACTTACAACGCGTAGAAATTATTCATAGAGCACTTGCTATTTTTAAACCAGCAACTAACACGTGCTCTTACTTCGTATCACTAGGCGCCAGTTCATATGCGCTTGTTATTTTTATTCATGTCAACACCATTTAACTGTGTTTGGAAATACAGATTACAAATTCCTCTTGAAAATACGTAAAACTATCTGCTAGGAAAGCTCCGTTCATACACCAGATATATGAGATCCAAGATGCAGTTTTTTATTGACACCTCTTTAAAATTCTTTATCGTATATCGCTGAAGATTTAATAAAATACCAACGTGTGAAGCATTGAGAAGGAATTGTTATGGATTATCGACAGCTACGAATCGATGAAAAATTCGTAGGTATAGGTTAACTCGGATACAACTACGACGCCGACGCACGGCTACGGCTAGTGTAGCGCAGTCAATTATGCTGGCACCAAACACGTCAATCAATATCGCACCCTCTCGTGCCTTCTTCTTGTAGTGAACGCAAGTATCCCATAAATAAAGGAGAATCTTTAGCCGGCGCCATCTTCTGCATGTTCTAATGAGGTGTATTTAAGTTTACGATCGCGTTTACGAGCGCCGCCGGCCGCCGGCCGGAGGTTCCGCTGTCTGCCGGACCGCGAACGCTTCCTTAATGTTGTGAAACATTTTCCTTTCATTCAACTAATAAGTGACTATTAACGTTACGTCTATAATGTAAACAAGACCTAAAATAAAGCTAAGATACCGTGTTTAAACCAATAAACGTGAATTCTAGTTAGCAAGTGGCGAGCCCTGGTACCGTGGCAACATAGCTTACGGCTCTGGACTGGATAATTAACCGCGAAGTCGGCTCGTTGACATCGCTCCATCAATTTCTACGCCCGCCACGGCTGTAGCTCGTTATACAATACACACAAACAATATTATGTGATTAATGTCTTCTCGGAGCACTTAAAACAACACAACTAGATCGTGATTTGCATAAAACTAGTTAATTTAGAAGTTTACTCTGTTTACAACCGAGTATAAAGTTCCACAATGTTGCCTTGCCAGGATGGATTAGAAAATAATTTCAAATTGCTTATATATTTCCTGTGCTAGAAGTTCATATCATGTTAACTTGATGACATAGCAATTTTTAAAGCGCATTCTCATTGTATCGTTATTTTAATCGAACAAACGAAAGAAATAAGAAAATCGTATTGAAACTTAAAGAACTTTCCTCACAACGAGATTAACGCTTTGTATCACAGTCGTTTGATTCTCTGTGTACAATCACAGTTTTGTATGGAGTGTCATCGAGCAGAGAGCTTACTGTTTACGAGGCGGACACAAACCAGATGTTGCACAAAGAGCGGCTGCACCTCGCCACCCTCCCTCCACAGGAATCTCGTAAAAGGAATTTCTCGCGCCCTTATCGCTTTTCGAAATAAAATGTAGCTCCCTGCGCCGTACGTGTTTTATTACAGCGCGTCTCCTTCAGGATTTATCTCATGGTCGCCGAGCCGATACTCTACTCGTTTTTTTTTACGTCTAGAAACATTTGAAAAGAAACTTTGCTTATGTGGTTTTGCTCTACACGAGTTTTCGTTTAGTTGTTCAATTTCATTTAGTGAGATCCGCTTTAGTTCTACTTTCGTGGTATTATGAAGTGTTCGTGTATAAACCTTTAAACCACTTGACACGTTCTTCACATTTGATAAGATCAACACTTTACAAACACGTGTAGGTATGTATATCAATAGGAAAACATTAAAAAACGTTTTGCTCTCCGATAAAGTAATCGTAGTCGTAAAATAGTTTCTTATCAGTTCCGACGATTCTTAACTATCGTTGTTGTTCTTATGTTAATACGATCAATTACAGGTTTTTAACTTTATGTTTGTTATACCGTAACAAACCGGGTGTTGAATAAAATTTTAAGATACACTTGGAGAAATGACAATGACCAAATTTGTATGGAGCGTGGTGCCTTTTCATTTTTTCGCGGCAGTTGATCGGATGTGGAAAAACTGATGCAGAATAACATTACAAACAAAAAAATATATGGGGTCTTATATCAAAAACACAGTCCAAACCGAGTTAAATCAGTTCAAAGATGTGAAAATAGTGGTATATTATTCCTGTGATTTTATTGATGGTGACCGTACACAACGCATATTTCTTCATTTACTTGTCAGAAATATTTTGTAATAAATGTTTATAAACGATTTCAAGGAATATAATGAGGTTTTTTGTGGACATTTTTACTTTTTTTTTTCTTGTTATTTCTTTTTGTAACTTTTTTTTTTGTTATAAGGCCACGGAATCAGGACAGAGTGAACCATTAACTGACCACTGCTGAAGTAAAAAAAAACATTTCTCTTGATTGGCTAGCATGTTCAATTTATATGTATACGGTTTATGGCCTATGACAGATTTTCATGATCAATTTCCTCTCAGTCAAAAACCCGCAAAATACTTTACTGAGCCCTATCATGAAATGCTATGTTTGTCAGCTGCGGCGTCGGTAGCGGATTGAGTAGTGGCAGTCGTCAAAACATTAAAAAAATATTTTTCTGTCTACTTCTCCCGACTTACTTCCGATTAGTAACTAATCTAACTACGGTTTATACTTTAATCATCATCTTCGTCATTCGTCATTCAGTCACAAAGTGATTGAATTTCGACTGATCACATTATGTGAAAAAATTATGTGCTCATCTGACGTATAGTCCATCACTTTACAAAGTCGACGGTTTCCTTTCTTCAAAAGATTATGGCTAACTATAAAGTAGATGAGTCTCCCACCAGACGGCAACGGCAACAAATACTTTATAAGATGTTTGGATGGCTACAACTACTCAATTCACCACTGGTACCACAGCTGACACTCATGAAGCTTCATGGCACAACTCCTAGAAGCATCCCACAAGTTATCGACTGAGAGAAAATAGCTAATAAAAATTAGCAAATGGCAATATGGATATATTGTGGTGTGATTTGGTATTTTTGGTGAGAATTGTGACAAAAATATGAATAATTTGAATAAAAAAATTAAAGTAAAATGTTTGACTCCAGCTTCTTTCAACGCTCATAACTCAGTCCAGACTGAGATTTCCATATATGAGCCCATAGACAATTTCGTTTGTAATGTCATTTTAGATAATATTTTCCATAAATCATCGACTGCTGCCAGAAAAAAGAAAGGCACCAATTTTAGTCAATGCCCTTTGTGCTTCTTTCCATTTTTAAATATTATAAATACCGTGACAGAAGCAATTAGTATTTTGTTCCAGTTTTTAGTGAGCACGACTTTGATCGGACTTCGCAGTCCCTTGCTTGTAGTCGTAACATATATCTATGACTGCTTGATTAATGACCGGAATATGTCAGCTGTCAGGGCTGTCACAACTCCAAAGCTTGTTAGATTCATCGCGCCCCTTCCCAAATATGGTAGCCCTAAATAGAGGTTACGTTTTTTAGTAAAGAACCCAATGTTTTTATCGCAAGGAGTGACAGAAGTGTCTGACTCTAATACTCTAATGCGTTTTACGTCCGAGCCCACCCTAATCCACCGAAGCTCTTGCGTTCTTTAACGCTACCCAACGAGGATGCTTTCATATTTCTGTTTAATTCACTACGTAGATGTTAATATCTAAGGTTCACGAGGAAGGCAGACTCCGAGATTAAAGTAGTAATTTCTTTCCTCGTTCCCATTAGAATCATCTAGGCCAGAGCCACTTGACTTCCTGGCGCTTCATTTTCACACGCACACACACAAACATTATGCTGATATATTTAAATGTATTCGCCTCGGGAATTTTTTTGTAAATGAAATTACCACATTTATTTTGGAAGGTTTCGCTGCCGTATAATTTATATTTAAAAGATCCTTTTTCAATGTCGAACAAGGTAATGCGTATAACTATGTCTATTTTATAAATGTGCCGGGGTCATCAATTACATCCCAACGCAGGATTGATGAATGCGAGCGAGAAAGGTTCTCGGAATATTTCCAAATTATACAGGATTGCTATTATCTAATCACGTGATGTGCATGTGTTGACTTTGTGAGTATAATAGTTTATTTCGGTACAATAGGACAGGCACGTCCCACGTGTGCCACCCTCCCATAAGTCGGGGTGAAAGTATAAATAAACAAGGCTTGCTGATATCTGTCATCCAAGGAATTAGATTTATTTCGGCTCTGGCGGAAGGTGAAGGACCCGAACCCTCGTGAGCGGCAGCCGCGGAAATATTATCACTCTTCACTCACGTATATTTATCCCAATGCGAATGGTTATTGTATTAAACAAGATGCTCCTGCGACGAATTGTTATCTCATTTGAAACAAAAACTTCCTTCCTTCCTTGTACATATATGCAGCGTAGCTCGTTTTGAAACGTCTGAAACGGTGTACGGGTTTGTATCCCTTGGTCGGGGGTATGTTTAACATAATGTAAGTTACATCAAATTGTTTTTATAGGGTAGGGTACACGCCACCAGTGGAACTTGTCCAATATTGTGAACTATATCCGATATCGGGTCAAAAGGCGCAGAAAAAAGAATAATTTTTTCTCTGGTGAGGGTGGTGCTTTTTTGTTGAATTATGTTAATGCTGGTGTGACGGAGGGTAGGACCGCTACCGATATTTAAATTTGTCCATACCAGTGTTCTGAATCATTTGCCCCTGTCAATGGTTCTGTTTTTCTGAAATGGTTTTTACCGACTTAAATATCTGGATCTTAAAATCTTTAAGCCTTGGATATAGAAAGTGCATTTTTGTCCCTCATAAATTATGAGCAATAATTAATATTAAGTAATCGGAGCGCCTCTCTCAGTGATCCCGCATGTTATAGGTAATTAACTTCACCTGTCCATCACTGCCGGACGGAGCCTATCTCTCCGTATTCTCGCTTCAATTATCTCTAGCAACCCTATTTATCTTTGCCTTTGTTAGTAGTAGTTAGGTACTATCTCCTTTTCAAATGTGAATAATGCAGCGCCTTAATTGCAGCCACATTCTTGCCTAATTACAAGGCAATTAGCTCTGAATTTTTAAGTAAATTTACAGAATACAATTAATCAAAGCCTCGGAAATGAACATCTGTAGACTTAAGGCTTTTTACACACAATCTAAATAAATGTAAGCACTCATCAAGTGTACTGTCTCGTCGTAGTAAATGGTGAACGAATTGATCGATTTCCTGATTGAATCGACGATAAAACAAATGGAGTGCTCAATTTAAATAGATTGAATGGGATTTATGTTTCATTTCGTGAGCTTCGGCGTGAATCAGTGGGATCCCTCGCTGTGAACACTGGCCGCCACGACAGTTGCGGCCGCGCCACCGCTTTAAAATTGAAACCGGAATTTCATCGCTTTATAAAACTAATTATAAAACTCAAACGGATGGGCTCACACCAATTTCATGTTCCTAATTAACGTAGTGTGCGATACATGCGCGGGTAATGCGAATGCAGTTACAATTTACAAGTTTGCGTGTTCGCCGGCCATGTGACGTGGTTCGCGGCACGCACGCGCTGCGCTATCGAGCCGGGACCAACTGTTGAGTGCTATCTCCCACCCGGCCACCCTACACCATCATGCCTTTGAGATACAGCTCGGCCTCGGCTCCCCTCGCTGCCCTCCTACGCGCCTGACGTCATCACCCACAGTCATATGCTCCCGATGGGCGACGGCGGGCGACGTGTGCGTTCACGTTACATCATTAAATTTTACTGTGAACGAAATTAAAATCGCGTGTTTTATGGTCATGTTGATTGCTGACGGCGCAGCGCAGCGACTACAGATCAAACACTTGATTGCTGCTATACGGAACAAGATTGGCGTTTCGAGTGACTCGTACAGACAATACATGTCACTCATGCTCGAGAATACACATTTATGATTTATCTGATTTTTTATTATTCAATTTTCAATCCTATTGAACTTGAACATAGCAACGAGATACACAGGATATCGTTTAGGACAGAAAACAACTAGTATTTCGTTGTTTACCATACCCTGCTTAAGTATACATAGTTTCGAAACTATTAAACGGAGAATTGTGGAGGAAAAACATTTAATAAGATTATGAGAAACTTGTTTGCAACTCAGTTAACTGTTGATACTTACTAGAACAGTTCAAAAGTACGAAACAATACACAACAATGGAAGAAAAGTCGTTGGCAAAGAAATTAAAAAAGTACATTTTGGAGAGCAAACGAATGAAAGCGTTATTGAAGACCTATATGAAGGTATTACTTTTGAGTTTTTAAGCAACATTCTAGAAAAAGATAATAGAGTATGAGTAAGAGACACTTATCTAAAAGTAAGTATAACACACGAGCGTCGAGCCATCAGTCTGCCACATACAACGGGGAAAATTCGTGGAATTTATAATAGAAATCGTTTATTCACAAAACATGCCGAAGTTCCCGGTTTCCACAAAGCAGGCACTTACGTAACTTGGCACAACTTTGACACGTGATGATTACTTGTCACAAACTGTGGGAGGAGCCAACACTCCGTCACTCCCGCACTCTTGACACCTGTCGAACCTAAGCCAGACTGATTGGAACTTACTTTCAGGATTTCGCGGATCTCAGGAGCTTACAGAATTATTATTTATGTTTGCAAATTTCGCACGTTAAATGTTGACGTTATCTAAGATTTATTTTTTTAAGTTTCATTTTTGGTGCTATTATCTGCCATCGAATGTTCTTTAGACGTTTAGTCGGAAAATCTCGATTACTTCTTTTAAAAACTGAGTGGAGAAAAGGGCAATAACGATAAGTAATATATTCTATTTGTCGGCCCATCAAGTATAAAAAAACACTAATTTACAGTATCTGTCTTATTTCTAATTGAGTTTAAGCCGCTTTAAGAGCTTGGCCTACCATTCAGACACATGGTGTATTTATATTCTCAATATTTTCCCTAAATTTTTTGACATTTCCTTCTCCAAACTCTGACTCGGGTCCGAAGTTGAGAGTTGGGCTGTTCCCATGAGCACACTGGCGACTCGGCTCTCTTAATTACCCATCCAAATTCCCGAGCAGATAATAAAGTTAAATTGAGTAAATTGCACAGGTGGCCGACACAACGTAAACGTCGTCGACTCCTGTTTAAACAGCCTCTAATCGGACGTTTTGCCTTTTAACTGCCACTTAAAAGCTGCCTTGTTAGTACTGATTGCTAGGACTATGAACTATGTCAATTACATTAAGTAATCACTAATTGTTAATTGCAGTTTACACTTTAATAGTGATTAAGATTGAATAAATATACAATTTGTTATTTCGACATCATTATGTTATTAGATACAAATATTTAACGACTTAATATTTACTTAAACCCAATTTATGAACAACAAATTAAACATGTTTTTATCATAAAATAAGCAAGGACTATCATTACACACATATATGACATTTAAAGACTCAAAGTGCGAACACAAAAGCATCTAAATAAGCATATATATAACATAACATCACACCTTTTATACCCGAAGGGCTAGGCAGAGGTGCACATTATGCCACTGTACAATGTAACACCAACTTTTCACTATTTATGTAACGAGTCCCATGTAATAGGGGGTGAGCCTATTAAATAAGCTTCCGAAAATAATTAACTAACTGTAGCACCCATATTGAAAAACGCAAGTAATTTTGTTTTTATTTTAACTACTCATATTAACCGTTTCTGTATAAAAGTCGCTCCGGTATAAAACATGTATTTTGCTAATTTATTTTTATATCGGCGTATGTATCGCCGCGGTGGTCGTTCCGGCAGTTAACACAAATTGGACCAATTACCGTCGTCTACAACCAAGATACCAATTGGATTACGAATCTAAATTCTTCCTTTAACCCCTGGAAGTCCTCTCAGTTTTAGAAGGTAACATTAATATGGTTGCCCTGAATTTAATTACACAAATGGCAACTCGACAGCACATATGTAACTCCGCTTGATGAGTTGTTACGTCAACGACACGCACGTTTTATGGGATTAATATGTTAACTAAATGCAAATAGTAGAACATCGCCGAGGTACTCAGTGTAGTCTGTTTGTAGGCACTGGCGCAAACACGGGGGAACACAAATGTTTAGAGATAGACACAGTATTTTAGTCACTTATAATTGTAAAATTAACATTCTATCACTTGTTTTAACAAGTATAAAAATCGCTTGCGACCCATATTGTACCTAAACAAATAAAAATCGAATGCTCTACTTTCGAAACCGTATGTTTTATTTATGTCATAATAAAACCGCGCGTTATGGTGTCTCGTTCATAGCCCTTATACCGTCGGATAACACCATATCCTTGTAATCAATTTCATGTTTACGTTATCAAAGCGTCGTTTCGCGGCGCGAGTATCTATGTGAAATATATCCATTAACGTTTTCAGTTAAATACTTGTTTATCGAACCAAATTGCTATTCCTAGCAGCCCGAGCCTCCTCGTTAATCCAAACTAACTGTTCATCCATTAACAAATTGTAACGTTGCCGGAACGGAACACGTGCAATCCGTACCGTTGGCTTTTCTTAACTCGGTGGGTTTCGAGCATGCGAGTCGATTAAGGGTGCGTGCTCGGAATCGGCATGCGCTCATTACTCCTCCCTATTCATTACTCGTCGGCTAGATAACTAATAGTCGACGTCTTAACGCGTTTCACTGAGAACAGTTATTTCAATGAAGTCGCCTCGGAGGGGCTCCGCGCGCTCTCGACTTATTCCAGCCGTTTCGCTAAGTTGTACAAGCGCGCATATTAACACTTTGATCCAGTGAGTATAATGTAATCGTTCCGACACCGAGTTACACCTACAATGTGTTCACGGGGATTACAGACATCGACATCATGTCTCGATTATACACGGAGAATTACGTTTAATTAAATAGTTATGTAACTTTGCCAAACTGTTCTGTGTGACATGTTTAAGCGTCATATTAACGCGGAGATATTGATTTTATTTTATAACAATGTAATGTGATGTATTTTCTGCAATGGATAAATCTATCAAGTCTCTACAGTGGTTATGGCAATTTAAGTTATATCTCTTAACCAACTGTTATCGATGACGCCAAACTTTTTTCCTTGACATCATCTATGAAAATATGAATTGTTACAGTACACGGGCACTGGAATGGGTGGAGGATGTGGCGCGGCCGGAGGTCGCGTGCCGACGGCGGCGTCGCCCGCCAACACGGCGTCATCGTCGTCGTCCAACACGGGCTCGGCCGGCGGCACGCGCTCCACCAGCCTGAGCACCGCGCCGCCGCCCCCGGCTTCTTCCGCCTCCACCACCGGCGCCGCAGGGGAACAGCTCAGCCGCACCAACCTCTACATCCGAGGCCTTAGCCAAAACACCACCGATAAAGACCTTGTTCAGATGTGCCAAATGTAAGCCTTTGTCACCACATACTCCAACTCTGCCCCGATCATCTGACAAACTCTAATCTTTCTATTATTTTCAGGTATGGCAACATAATTTCAACAAAAGCAATTTTGGATAAGAATACAAATAAATGTAAAGGTAAACAACATTCATAACGTACGTCCTCTTTATATACACTGTCATAGCGAGTTACCAAGTTATCTACATGTAAAGTACTATACTTAGTTACTGATCTGTGCATAGTATCTCACGTATGTATTTAAATATTGTTTTACAGTTTGTTAATTGAATAGAGTTGCATTGATACGATTACTACGTAATTGATTATTTAAAACAATATATTAATATTTTCTAGAATACCATATACCTACCTTCATTAAACTAACCCATCTATGGTGAGACTTTTTTCCAATATATGCACGAACACTAGATACATTCAATTTAATTCATATTTATGACATTCTCATATTATAAGTGTTTATTTTATATATTTTTTATCGTAGAACTATTATCATGTTCACTATATTTGCACCCAAGCACAGATGATACTAAATTATTACCTCGATATGAAGTTCGCACAGTAATTTTAATGTTCATCACGATGTTGCCCTTTTTCGATGTCACATTTTCCATCACGCTAATGTCGAGTAGGCAATATACTCGCTCTCATTAGTTACATATCAAGTGTATGTACCATAGCTGTTCTTTCTTTGGAATTTTAGATATATGTTTCAACATACATAAGACCAAGCATGAGGCATCATCGAGATTTAAACCTTTTTTTTTTTAAGGTGGTCCGACTCAGCTGAGGTAACCTTCCACTATAAAATTGTTACTCTTTTCCCAGGTTACGGTTTTGTAGATTTTGAAACAATCGCATCGGCTGAGGCAGCTGTTAAAGGATTACAAGCCAAAGGTGTTCAGGCCCAGATGGCTAAAGTGGGTATCTGGTTCCTGCGTAGACTGAACCGTGTACGTTGTGCATGCAAGTAATACTATTATGACTAACCGCCTGCTCCTTGTCCGCTCTCTCATCCCATCGTCTTCTACTTCTTCTCCTTCGCCTTACAAATGAACACCTACACTAACTCTTAACTCCCTGTTCCGTCTACAATCCTTAATATCTAATGAATGTCCAAAAGCCATTAAACAAAATGGAATGGCAACTGTGAAATTAAGCGCAGCGCTATTGGTGCTTGCCCGGACTTGAAAACGTATAATGAATGCTTTTGAGCCTTTCATAATTTAATTTATACTGTTCGTTACTTAGCAAGATGGCAGACATTTCGCCATTTAAACAGTTGCCCTCCCCATTGATCCCAACCCTTTATTCCGTCTTCCCTTACTTATAGCTTTAGTACTTATACCCCTTATCTATACAAGAAGTGCTGTTAACATACATAACTGAACGTAAAGAGAGTGTACCCCATGTTGTAAACTTTGCTAGACTTGATATTATGCGTATTGTAGCATAAAGCATCCCGATCCAAGTAATTTGAGGTAAAATTTTCAATGTGTTCCTATTTTCCAGCCATATAATGCATAAATTTGTTTGATTCAATAGATTGTCTGTCTAGAAGTAGGTCCTGTGTTTAGATCATCGACAATATGGGCGATAAATACTTTGAAATGTCCCGGTATTAACAGCTACCAAAGTACACGATCATTCATTTGTGTAGTCCATTTTGGGAACCAACACGAGTGGTAATGTTGTCAGCGTATTCACAAACGAACAATGTAACACTAATGTGTTGTAAGTATGCTATCCCTTCAATGGTACGCAAACCGACGCAAATAATATAACGCTTACTTAATTCTATACTTCAGACATTGTTTCATCCTATTAATTCTATACTTACTATTGTCGTATGCTTCAGCGTTATAACAATGTATAATTATATTATCGCTACTGGGCTCGGGTATTTCTATGCTTTCGATATTAAATTAGTGTGTATGCGAATTTTAACAAGCTTCGTAATTTCTATGCTAATGTATATGCCCATGTCGTTGATAACACTACGTAATATTAGTACATTAGATCAATCTGCTGATATACGTCAGAGCTGGCTTCAGTGTCTAGATATTCTATGCGGGCTTCAAGCTAACTTTAACATTCTAAGAACAATTTCACAGACACGTTAAATTAACGCTTAGAGACATAAATTAATAGTTAACAAAATAAACAAGACTTGTCACGCAGCCGATGATATCTTGTGACGTCACGGTCTGCTCATCACACGTACACACATTGGGAACATGTAAATAAACCAGTATGTATTAACTCCTCGAATGATAATGCTTTCCTAATGGTGGCTGGAGGAGAAGGCAACCCAACAATGGAATCTTGTGTCGTAAGCGCACATTATAGCATTTACAGTGGTTCCGGGGCTTCTCACATGGTATTCAATTCTCAAATCCCCACAATAACTAAATGTGCCAAGCACTTTCAAAGTATTTCAACAGCAGCACTTGTTTATTGCTAGCTACCCGTTGTGGAGCTCGTAACTTTCTGACCATGTCACTGAAACTTCCAATTTGAATTTTTAAACATTGAAGATTTGGAGAGCAACTACTTCACCTATTACTCCGGGGCATTTACAGCAACAAGAGCAGGATCCCACCAACCTGTACATGGCCAACCTGCCACCGCACTTCAAGGAAAATGATGTGGACCAACTGCTGGCCAAGTTTGGCCAAGTGGTCTCCACGCGAATCTTGCGTGACACCCACGGCCAAAGCAAAGGTGTGGGCTTTGCAAGGATGGAGTCCAGGGAGAAATGCGAGCAGATTATCCAAGTAAGTGGAAATAGTTGTCTTGTATCAATTACTTCTGATCAAAATGAGTTTTAAAAACATTTCAATAGAACCATACACAAGCGAGATAGTGGCCTAACGTCGGCCTATCAAATATAAAAAAAAACTCAGAAAGTAGGTATGTTAATGACAAAAGTCCAACATGAGAAAATCGTGTGTATTTTCTTTTAGATGTTTAATGGGAACCCTATTCCGGGAGCCAAGGAGCCTCTACTAGTTAAGTTCGCTGACGGCGGTAACAAGAAAAAGGCGTTATACAACAAACAAAACGATAACAATGGAAGAGCATGGCGAGACAACAACGATTCCATTACCCAGGTAGTCAGTTGACAGCTATCTATTCACTCTACCTTGGAGGCCCTACTTTTAAAGACTGTCCCATATTATGATTCAAAACCACCAATGATTCATTTCATTACTGATTCATCATAATATTGCAATACCTTAACTTAGAACTTTGCAACTATAATAGGAATACAATACACCAAGCCTGTGGTTGCGTAGATCTCTGAATAATCTAACATTAATTAATAACTAGATTTTTCCAGATGAATGGCTTGTGAAAATTTAGTTTACTTAGAAGACGGTCCATCCTCAACTTCGCCTCAGTTCCGATGCCTTACCTGGAGAGCCAATCAATAACATCGTGTAACCACGAGGCCCTCCGAAAGTTTTAATGTAATTTAACAAATAAAGTGAAGTTTCTAGCAAAGAACCGCACCTCACGTAACTCAAAGTCTTCATTAGCGATAAAATTAGCATAAGTCGCCTTCCGGCAGCGATAGTTGTGCAAGTTTTATCAGGTCGGCGGCGGCGTCGCTTGAGTTACAAGTGCAGGGAACTGTCGCACTGTATTAACATGTAACTCGATGTCCATGACGACACGACTTCTTTGTTCAAGTAAAGAAAAGATCGCAATCAATTCCCCTTAGTCACTGAATTCATAATCACTTAATCCTTTTTCAGTCTAAGACCATACAAATATATACTTTTAGGTGTTACATTTTAAGATAAGCTAATGTTTCAACCTGATGAATTCCAGGCCGCAATGGCTGTAAGTGGCGTTTACGCTGGAGGAGTCGGCGGAGCTGGAGCTGGAGGCGAATGCGCTGGAGTATACCGCGGCGGCGGCAGCGTGTACGGCGTGGCGGCGTTCCACCACCACCCGCAGCTGCACCACCACCACCACGCGGCGCACCCGGCCGCCTGGCTGGCGCCCTACGCCGCGCTCATCCCGCCCGCGCACCCTGCGCACCACGCTACGCACCCCGCGCACCCACATATACCCATCGACGCTGTGCCTAGCCAATACGTAAGTGTGCCCTATTAATATACACAGCTGACACTGGCCCGTTTCCTTCTCAGGTACAGTCAGTCTCGTCTCCTGTAAGTAACCTAATTCCAGAGGGCCAGTTGTTACTCAAGCCGGGACACGAGGAGTGCGGTGGTTAGCGACCTTTACAAAACGGAATAACGGCCTTAAAATATAGACTCATCGAGTCGAAGGGTTTACGAGAATGTTCAGTCAAAACAATGCTAGACTGATGGTGATTCTCTGTTTTCCAGGTAAACTGGGACAGCTTAAGGCCGGAAAATGAGTTATACGTGAGTGCACAGTAAAATTGTAATCGAACGCTCTAACCTTCCGTGTCCCATTGCTTACGATCCACCGCTCACTTAGCGCTCCTCTCGCTTTCTCTGCCACACGTTATGCTGCCACTCTGCTATATACGACACTAAGTGCCTGGTGTTACCTCGTGTTTGCTAAAATGGGAAATTAATAATAAAAACAAAGATGGATGATGTTTAACCGATCAATGGAAGTACTGAAAATTAACACACCTGGGGCCATGAATATATCGATAGAGCGTTGAGTCGGCACGATGTTGTGTTCCAGTACTTCTCGTCGCATCCGTATCAGTACTTCGCGGGTCCGACACCACCGATCATCCAGATGCCGATGGAGAGCGAGCACGCGTCCACGGCAGCTTCACCCGACGAGGCCTACCAGCCGTACCCGCCTCCCAAGTAGACCGTAAGCCACGCTACAACACTACGTGCTGTACACGAGCCAAAAATCAAAGCAACTGTGACTTTTTACGATGTTAATTTGTTTTAGTTTTAATTTGCGGCCGTTATAGACTTCATCGAAAGCTCCGCTGCGCGGCGCCCTCGCTCCGCCGGCGCCCTAACTAGTTGATAAGCCTTACTATACTTGATCGCCTCGACTATTTATTTTCTCGACGGGCTTCGTATTTGGCTGGTCCTCTTGGCTTTATGCTGGACGTTCGATTTGCTGTGATGTTTTGATGAGGTCTTTTGACGGTTCGAGGAGAGGATTTGATGTATAGATATAGTTGCAATTTTAAAAGTGTTTTGCATTATAATTTTATTATTGTTTTATGAAAATTCATTAAGATTTTAGGCGCAGATTTCGTACATGTTGACAGAATTATTTAAGATAGTTAGGTATTTATTTTAGCATAGATTGTTTTCTTGCATGAAGCGACAAATCAAACTTGTCCTCAATGCAAAGAAGTCGGTAAATGTTATCATTTTGTTTTGATTGCTAGTGTCATATTCAAAACCGTAACTATTGTGTTACCGTTTGATTTCTGACAGCGAATTAACATAAACATCACTGAAATCAAATAGATGGTGCAATCACATTTTACAAAAGTATATACCTATATATATTGAATTTTTAGAAAAAATAATTTTCGTCTTTTTATTTAAATGAATTTTTGTTACATCGGAGTGTATGAAGAGAGCAATATCTGAGAATCGTATAGAAAGATAGGTGGAAAAGGTCATATCATGGAATCAAAAATATTAACAAAAATTGTAAAGAATAATGAAATGGTTAGGTATGTGTGTAAGGGTTAGTAATGGTGGATACACCGATTACATCTTGTACGATAAAAAGCCGGAGATTTAGAATCTACCGATGAGTTTAGGTATTTTTAAAATACAATCGTTGCGTCATTTTATAGTCGGAAAACATAAATACAGGCAGCTCTACGTAGTCAAACATAAGTTTCGCTACAGGAGCTGTGGAGCAGTAGCTCCGCCTCGAGCGAGGAGACCACCATCCTGCGTGCGAATTGTGTAGACTAATATACGTTTAGCATGGTGCTCTAACTCATTATGTTCCCAGAATATGTGTATGGATATGTATAACAGTATTATTTATCAGGAACAATGTTCATACTGGCGCAGTCTTCCAAAGATCGCGATTCATTAAAGTTATGGCTCACTGACCCAACGAGCGCCACGTGTATGGGCTGTCAGCCAATTTAAATTTACCTTTCAATGAATAAAACAAATAACCTCACTGAACAAATCTATTGCTTGTAAGAGGTACATAAAAATAATAATAATCCCCCTTAAAGTCATAATTTTCTCATCACAAATAGGATTATCGATTTCGTTTTAGTTTCTGCATAATCTAGATGCAAACTCCAATAACAATAACGTCGTTGCCAAACCCGAACACAGACTGAATTTATGTATACCTACTTGAAGTTCGTTATATTTGTGATCCGCGTTTAGTTAATACACACACTGCAAGGTGTAGCGTACTCTGCGTACACGACTCGTGTACTACGACTACTGCATGGGTAATGACTTCCAACGGTGACGTCTGCGCTTGTAGGCACGACAGTGCTGATGATACGGCAACATTTAGCAATAAGCAGTTGTATGTAAAGTCTATTTATACATTTTACGAGTCTATACAAATTTTTGTACGTTGAAAACACGTGAATAATGAAATGATCCTTTTTTGAGAATCATGTACTGAATCAACTTGTAGTTGTTATTTTGTAGGCGGTCGGCACATTCCATTAGAGAAAACTCAAACAAAAATTCCACGATTGATTTCCACATTATAAAATGTAAATGGATTTGAAATCCAAAGTGTAAGTAAACACCGTTTTGGTGTAATTGAGCACTTTTTGTACCATCACGTAGGTTTTGGGTACACTTTATGACTTTATATGAAATTTGATATTTTTATATTGAATATATATAAATTATACATGGATATGTATACATGTATATACATTGTTGATGGGTACGAGTAAAAGCCTACTATATCGCAACTGTTTAATTCTATTTTGGCACGCAAGACATCAGAACCAAAGTATACAAATCATTAAAGTCGAGTAAGAAGTAGGAAAATATTTATACAACTCAGGGACTGAAGACTAGTTAAATGTTTGATATATTAACTGTATTTTAACTGACAATTAAGCGGTAACCTCTTCGTTCAAAACCTGTGAACCGACTTAAAAGAAACAATACAGGAACTGAAACTAGCTGACGGCAGGTTTTGAATGAATAACGTAGATTTTGGACGAGTTAGTAGATCTGTACTTGATTTGTAAACAATCACTTTAATTTATTCAGGAAAAGGCTGAAACTGTACTGTTGTTCCGTAATCAATTACTTTTTCAAATGTACATACATTAGCTCAAGAAAATTTCACCGTTAACGTGAGTAACGTAGCGTACTGCTAAACATCTTCCATGTAGAGGCACAACGTTGACCGGTCACGAGTGTGAACAATAAAGTTACAAAACGCAAACACGTAGGTAGCCCCAGATAGTAGTTGTATTAGCTGACTGCCTCCTGTACCTGCGCAACTACGTACGACCGCAGAGCCGACGAGCCGCATCCAAGCTCACGTCAAGTCAAAGTGAGATTTTTATTAGTGTAACGTTCGAGTGAGACGTGTGTGACCCACAATACTCCGTAGATCAGTGGCGGCCCCGGTCGACGTCTGATCAAGCCAAATTTTATTGTACTGAATAAGAACCGCCTTTACTTGTGAAATGTAATAACCATAAAGTGCAATGTAGTACCGAGCGTCCGCGTCGCGTGGTACTTAGTTAAGTATTCATCGGTTAGTGTTCCACGTACACTGTGGCTTCCTGTGAATGCAGTCTTCCGATAGATATTTCCGCTAAACTTTGCATTTAAAATTGATGTCAATGTATTAAATAAATTCATTTCACTTTATTATGAGAATCACCAAGCCTTGGTTGAACGTACTGTTTGTAAGTGGATCTTTTGATTTCCTGGCTCTAATGTTTTAGTTTCATTCCAATGAGCAAATCGTTGTCTCCGTAAATCGTTGTATAAATCAAATGTGTATTTTAGTAGGGACATGTACATGTACCAAAAGGCGCTCACGTATCGCACGTGAAGTATTCGTCTATGTGACTTGTAGTTATAGCGTGGCACGGTCCTGGTAGTAGAACGCCGTCGAAAGCAAAGTATTTTAGCACGAAATTATTTTTCTAATGCTTCCCTTCCATTTAAGCAATAATTAATTGATTTGATGGTAGTGCCTTCAGCTTCCTCTAAAGTAATGCTCAGATTGAATACAATATAGCAGTTGCATGTGCTTTACACAATATTTTTACAGGTAAAAGAAAACTTACCGTATTACATAAACGTAGTGATAATGTAAAAACTATGTTTAAATATTTTGTATTAACAACCTAATGATGATAATGTGGCTGTCTAATCGTTGCATTTTCCACACATGATGTAAAATGAATTGAACTCGACAGTAACGCAGATGTTCCTAGTTAACCACTTGTACATTCTAGACATGTGTGATAACTGATAACAATACTTTGAGATTACGGGCGATGATTTGTAATACATTACTATGTGTAGTGACAACTAACAAAACATGAGATGAGCACAAAGATGCGATTGGGGAACCAAGTCTTGAAAACCAAAACTATGTTTCAACAGAAAATGTCATGTCGATGAATAGAAATGTTACGTAGATGTTTTTAAAAATAAGTCATTTAGATATAAGAGAACGCACGGTTACGTCGATACAGAGAATAGTAAAGCTACGGGCAAGTTAACGAATGACGGCTAGGATTAGTTGTTAGGCTTAACTATAGATAGGTTAGAATAGAAAACAATGTTTCGACGCTAAGATAGATAGCATAGAGCCTTAGATTTAATATATTGTCGGGCGAGGCGGCGCGGGCGGCGCCTGCCGGCTCTAGGGTAGTTTCCTTTGTTAGTTTATTAAATAATTTAATTTGAATGGACTGAAGCCTGCACGCCGCGCTCGCGCGCCTCGCCCTTACCTAAGTAAGGACGTCTAAAAGAATAGTGAACACATTCTTGATAAGTTTCAGTTGAACAAGTTTGCTTTCACCTCTTTCGTTATGTAGTTGAATAAGTGTAAAGAAGAAAATTACATGAAAAAAACGGAAGTGTCGATACGAATGTATTTGTCCAATGTGTATTAATATAGTGTGGTGTTCTACCCAGCAGACTAGTCTAGACAGTAGCATAGTATAGGTAAATATTTAGGTAGGTAGTATTATAGAATTATGAATGCAAAAAATAAAACTTGATAAAATGTAAAAAAAAATGAAATGAAATTGTTGGTAAGACAGAATTATTTTTAAGGGACATGTTGCTTCGTTGTGTTATGATGTGAGGTTTGGCATAACTATGATAATAGTGTAAAAGCATTTCTCGCAGAGAAAAGACAAAGAGGAAAGTTATGTATCTATTTTGTTACAAAGTGTTTGCAAGTTTCTATATTGTGCTATGAGCATTTTACGTGACCCGCATTATTTATAGTTATGCTGAATGGAATCTAAAATATAATATTAATAAATCAAAATGGTACTAAGAAGCATGTTTTATTGTGACGAGTCATGTTCCTTTGCATTGAACATATTTTGTAAAAGCAAAATGATTGAATAAAACAAGCGAAACCAAATCTAGTACATTATTTTCTTTCCATTCCCTTACTGAAGTACCCATAACATAGTACACACGACGGGTAAGTATGTAGTAAGTATACATTTTTTTATGGGACAAGCCCGCCACTACTTTATGAAACCGCTGCAACTCCTGTAAGCCAGGATCTACAGTAGATACAACCATGAAAACACCGGAACACTGAAGTCTGGCGCGTCCCAGGGACATGAATAACTGTCTTGGTTCCCGCAACGAAATGAATCAGAAGATATTATAAGAGGAGCGATAGTTTCCATTCCCCTGCGTGGGTAAGGTCGGTAGTAATTATACATGTTACATTACACAAAAAAAAAGAAATTGAATTTCTTATGAAAGAACTTTAAAGTTCACATTTAACTCGTGACAATATAACTATGAGCCTCCTCTACAAAGGGGTTGCCATCTTGCTATAATATCCACACTCGGCTACTACAAAAAGAACGAGATTTGGTAGCTTCTAAAATATAGGTATAGGAGGCCCAATTATTCCCTTCCCCAATCTCCCCAATCCCTGAATGCCCAAAAATTTTTAAATTCCTAATCCCCAAAAGGCCGGTAACGCAATTGTAACGCCTCTGGTGTTTTAGGTGTCCATGGGCGACGCTGATTGCTTACCATCCAGTGATACATCTTCTCGTTTACCCACTTATCACATAAAAAAGTTACGACCCAAGAGTATACTAATTACAAGATAGGCCTACTTAAAGTTCTTCTATAAGTATTTCTCTAGAAATGAAATTTTGACGGTTGGCACAGTGGCTGAACCACCGACTGCTGGGCAATGTATCGCGGGTAGATTCCCGCACGGGAACCTCTGTGTGATCCAGTCTGGATGTGGTGTGTATGTGAATTTGAATGTTTGTTTGTAAACGCACTCACGACACAATATAAATACAGTGGAGCAACTTTAAAAAAAAGATACAATAGAGGAGCATTTCGGTTCCAAAACAAAGGTCAAATTCTCAGTTCTAAAAAAATACGAACATGGGATTTATTCCCATTTCGGTTCCTTGTCAAAAACCAAGAGAAATGTTATAATTCCAACAGGGTTGAAAAAAATACCAACTCCAAAGGGGTTACTGAGAAAACAATGTCAAAAGAAAACAAAAGTTATAAAATTCAACTTATTTATTACTTTCGTATTTATCTGCTAACAGAAATATTAATCTAAATAACATGACGTACACCTTAGACGGACATTAAGATTCCAATTTTAAATAAAAACTTGGAATATTTTGTAAAAAAATAAAATCAAAAACGTCAAAATGTTCGAACACTATTAGGTGTTGGTCGGTCACTAAATATATTAAGTTAACCCTCACGCGGTCTCGTAGTGTTTCGCTTTGAATATCCTAAGCGTGTTGTCGCAGGATCCGCTGACCAGCAGCGAAGGGTTGGACCAATCACAGCACAGTACTTTGTCTTCGTGGCCACTCAAGTCGTATAGAGGTGTACGCGGACTGGAAAATTTAAAATCCCAGTGTTAATTTGGTAGATAATATCACCAAATATGAAGGGCTGACTGAAGCAGAAGGAAATTAGGTTTGAAGTTCGAAAATTGAAATAAAATTCGATCTCACTCGAAACTTAAGCTTATACATAAAAAAAACCGCTCAGCAACAGCAAAATCAAGGAATCCAAAGTTTTAAGCACATTTTCAATATTTCCGAAGCAATGAAGGCTATTTTTGCGATCAGTAGATGGCGCTAGTATCGTATAAGATCCTATCCAATCACTGTATCGGACAAATAACCGACCAATGGCTTGATTTGGTTGATAGCTACTTAATGACCTTTAGCGATGATTTTGAGCCTTATTATTATTAGATAAACAGTGTTTCACATACCTTCTAGTTTCCCAAAGTTTAACTTGACCGTCGTAACCAGCTGACAGGAACAATGTGTCTCGCGTTTTGGACCAACGGACGGACTGCACCCAACCAGTGTGTGAAGTGAATGTTGTCTTAACAATACTCTCTGGAAAAGTGAGTATCGAATAATATAATAGTGTTAAAACTGATTGGTAGAAAATCGCTCTTATTTCTTAGACAATAAAGTCGCTTTTCGCATTATTGGGGTCTGAACTGAGTTTAAGACTCAGTGGCAAGTCCAGATACTAAAAGACCTTACATTTCATGTTATTGATATTGGATTATCGATCTTAGGTTCGATTCTGAGGTTGGGAGTCGAAAATATGAGATGCTACTGTCATAAACTCTGAACGTGTAGTTGGTGTATTAAACTTATGAGATTGTTGGTCAAACTGTATCGGGTTCAATTCCCATATTGGGTACATATTTTGGATTATCGAAATTTTTATTCAGAGTATGAAAGAACAACTTAACCTCAAGGAAGGCTACTGTTATGAATAACTAAAAAAAGTAATATTTCTCGATCCAGTATCGAAAACGATAAGAATAATGCGAATATTCAGTTAAATAGTTATGATATAGAGTGCATACCTGTAGATCTAGGATCATAAAGACGAATGTGTCGGTCTGCTGACGCCGTAATGATGCTGTTGTTTAGCGGAGACCAATCCACGTCGAAGAACGCTTTATTGCCTATAAACAAAATTAAGCTCAATTAATTAACTAGCTACTTCCGTGCGGTTCCACCCGCTCTGCTCGGCTCCTATTGACCATAGCGTGATCTTTTATAGCCTATAGCTTATCTCAATAAATAGACTATCCAACACAAACAAAATTTTTGAAAGCAACCGGGGCGAAAGCCCCGGGGCCTCCACAAGCAGGGGGCCTCCACAATAGACTTCGGAAAAAAAAATCTTTCAAAGGAGAATGGCAGGTTTGTATGGAAGTTTTGTACCGCTATAAAATTTTGTATTAGTCATTGTTTTAACCAAGTGAATAGTCTGAACGATAGATATTTTTATTATGAAGTTTAGAAAAAAATTACATATTTTTAGAACTTGGGGTTCAAAAGTTATTTCACTTTGAAAATGTGCAAAAGGTACGTTAAGGTGGTACCACACTTGACATTGCGTAGTCGCTACATTTGTCCAAATATTTGTAGACTACGTACAAATGGCGTCCAAATAGTATCTCTATATGTAATGGCGTGCAAATATATAGCAAACAAAGAAGAATAAATCCTCCAAACATGTTCTTTTTTGGCCGAACACAACAAATACGCAACGTCAAGTGTAGAGCCACCGTAAGCAAAATATCTATTACAAATGACAGATGACAGTTAACTGAAAAATGTCAATGTGCTCTCATGTGGTTGTTTATTTACAAAAAACAAAAATCTAAAAATACTGCTCGCTACTCAAGTGACTATTACACTTTGTATTATTAGGAATGATCCTGTTAATTCAGCAAGCATGATGTTCCTATAGAGTTTTAAAGAGTATGCCTTACAACCTTTTTATTTCTTAGGTGCCTACGAAAATGCAAATTCATAATGTAAGTGACTGTCATTGGGTAGAAGGCCTACATTTAGCAGTGGAAGTCTTGTGGCGGATATGATAAAACTAGTCTCACTTCACCTTGAATCTTGCAGGTAGATAGTCTCAAAGGTCTCAAGTTAATTCGATTTAAACTTAAAGTCGTATTTTTAATTAGACGAAGTCAACTGACAATGGCTAATGTCAAATTGTAAAATAATGTGGCCATATTTAAAGTAATAGTGATGGCTACAGTTCTCGTTCAATCAAATGAATGAACAATGAATGTGAATAGTTCATAATTTTAATCATTCCAAAACATAAATGAATATTATTTCTATTTCTAATAAAATTGTATCAATATTTGATAGTTTATTGTAAAGCGCGGCGCGGCGAGTACTGACAACACCGATCGACGTCGCGCGCGTCGGTCGCCATTTTGATTGTTATTCGGCTTCTAACCTCTGGTCTGAAAGCACGTACTTTGTTATTTCTGCGCTCACGTTGTTTTGTTAAGTTTTTTGTTTCGTTGTGTTTGCGGTTATTGTGGTTCATTGTTTCCTTTAAACAATATGGATCCTCAACCAAGCACGTCAAGTCAAAGCTTGTCTCCGAGAAGGAAGAGACCACGGGTTTCGTTAAGCGTTACCGAAAAGCTCATGGTACAGAACGTGTATAAACACGTATTTGAGGAGAAAGCTGCTTCTCTATTACCTTTTGAAACCCCCGAAAAACAGGAATGTGTTTCGAAAACAGCTGACATTTTGGGAATTGGTGTGACCTCGGTTTACAGTGTATTAAAAGAATACAAAGAAAATGAACAATTTAAATCACCCGAGAAACGTGGACCGAAATACAATTTCAAAGACAAATTAGATGATTTTACTTTTACTGCCATAAGGCGAAAAGTTCATCAGTTTTTTTATGCAAATGAGCCACCCACCATTGCAAAGGTAACATAAACTTTATTCCGTCTACTGCATTATATTCTGTGTCCACCATAATGTTCTTTGTAAAACCAAAGTATTAGATTGCATAGATTTCCTTACTCAAAAACATTTTTATTACTTTACAGATCCTTAAAGTTGTCAATGAAGACCCAGATTTACCGACTTTTTCATGGAGTACACTAAGAAATGTTATGAAACATTTGAATTTCAAATACGTTTCAAAGACAAGAAAAAGCATTCTTATTGACAGACAGGATATTATTCTATGGCGCCAGCGATACCTTCGAGAAATAAAACAGTATAGAAGAAAGGAAGGTATATTTATTACCAAGATGAGACCTGGATCAACGAAGGTAATTACAATTTTGTTTTCTTCATTTTAAATTTTACTTTCTGTAGGTTTTGTGGCCACAGATAAAAGTTCTTACAATTCGTTACCGACGCTGTATTTAACACAGATTACATGCGTTTCTTATAAGACTGTAAATTCTGATTGTGTGACAATAATATAAATTAGGAATAATTACAAACAAACATGACAAACCACTTAGATAAACGTGTACATACATTTACAGGCATGTGTTTAGAAGGTCCCTCTACTTTCAATAATTAATTGATATTTTTCTCTATTTTTAAGGTCATGCCCCGAAGAAGGTATGGATTGACCAAACAGTGCTAACCTCCCGCCAGGCCTTCCTCGATGGCTTGACCACTGGCTTAAAACAACCTTCAGGAAAGGGCAAACGCTTAATTATCGGACATATAGGCGGGAAGAAGGGTTCGTAGAAGACAGCCTATTAATATTTGAAGCCACAAAAAACAAAGAAGATTATCATCAAGAGATGAATGCCGATTCCTTCGAAAAGTGGTTCAGAGAGGTCTTGCCAAAACTCAAACCAAATTCCGTGGTAGTGATGGATAATGCCCCGTACCACTCCAGGAAACTGGAATCGCTGCCTACAATGTCTTGGACTAAATCCAGAATACAAGAGTGGCTAACAAGCAAAAATCGCATTCGAAGCAACAATGATCAAAGCTACTCTTATAGACATTGTACGACAGCACAAACACCAACATTCTGAAAAGTTTGTTGTGGACGAGATGGCAGCACACCATGGAATTACGGTTTTACGTCTGCCCCCATACCACTGTGAGCTTAACCCTATTGAGTTGGTATGGGCGCAGGCCAAAGGACATGTGGCAAGAAATAACAAAACTTTTAAAATGCCAGAAGTTAAAAAACTGTTTGAAGAAGGACTTCAACTCATCACAGCAGAAAAATGGAGTAGTTGCGTGTCTCACGTTATTAAAGAAGAAACAAAATGTATGGCCTTGACCACATGATTGACAATGTGTCAGACAACTTTATTATTAATGTCACCGAAAGTGATAGCGATGATTTTTTATCTGATGATGATTAAAATCAAATGATGTTATTAGCGTTGTTTTTATTATCCATAACTACCTAATTTTTTTATATTTTACTCATCTGTAGTTTCAACTACTTCAATTAATTCACTAGACGATCGAGACAATTTCATTCATTTAGTTGCTTTTTCAATCATTCACTTTTTCGCAACACTATTTTTATTTCATCAAAAACTGACAACACAGCAAACGTCAGTCGACTTCGTCTAATTAAAAATACGACTATAGCTTAGCTCTTTGAGAAAGTATTTCTTCTGAAAACTGGTTGCTTAGCACGCGTTTAAGGATTAATTTCTAATAAGTAAGTCAAATTAGTAGAATCATTAACATTTTCATCATTAAGACTATAAGTGGCCACTGCTGACCAAAGCCTCTTCTTGCATGGAGGTTTGAGCATTAATCACCATACTAGCTCAATGTAGGTTGGTAATTCAAACTTATAATAAGAAATTATAAGCCCATGTTTCCTCACAATGTTTTCCTTCACCATTCGTCAGCGGTGTCTTTGTACTTTCTTAGATTATTGAATATACGAATAACTCGGAAAAAAGACACATTGGTACTTTGCCGTTGGTAGGTTTCGAACCCGCACTCTCATGCATGAGAAGCGGGCTTCTTAAACCTCTGGGCCACCACATTACAATTAAAGAAAATGTAAAATGAAAATGAACATTTTTGGTATAAAACTAAAGCTATCTAAATTAAATATGGCATTTATTTTATAGATTGATTATTAAAATCACTTTTATCAAGATGGAATATTATACAGTTACTTACTAGGTTAAAATAAAACAAACATATTATTTTGAAATACTTTTATTTCATTGTATTCAGGTTGTTTCTAGGACTACTTCATCTAAAAAGAGAACAGGCAGTGTCATAGGTACAGCAGACATCAATTGCTGATATCTGTAAACAAGTAAGATAACTGTAAATAAAGTAAACAAAAGTAATTCTTTTTCCTTTAGTTTTATATGTTATAATAATATGTCTGATTCCCTATCTTAAAATGGAAAAGATAAAAATAAATATTTGATTACATTACTTGATTTTATAACATTTATTATAGTTATTCGTATAACACAGATCATAGGAGCTCAAACAGCATGCTAATTAATAAATTATAATTATAACATGAGTATAAACCTATTAGAAACCGCTTATATACTCCACATAGATACATAATTATGTAGGTACATTATAATGAGAATGCATACCTGTTGAAGCTTTGAGAGCCGAACAACATCTTCGGCCTCATCTGTTCTACAAATGGCAATGTTAAAGTGAGGCTTAGTCCATGTTTACATAACACATTACTTCCTGATAGTGAACACTGTGAGGTGGTATGTCAGGTTGTGGTTTTATAGTTTCGACTCTTGTACGGTCTCTCAGTCAGTATGGAACATGATCTTCATCATGGGAAGTAAGCTAAAATAAGTAATATTATTAGAATATGATATTGACTTTAGATTACATTGTATATAGATAATAGTATGGTTAAATTATGCTGTATTACCTCTTGTGGCTGAATCCAATCAAATACTATATGAGCCAGTCTTTACTCCTGTTTGTTGGCACCTTCAATTAAAACCCTGCGTCACCTTATCATTGCAATGAATCACCCATATACGACACAAACATGCCAGTGACCAATTTGTTTGCTGGATATACTTTCAGCAACATCCCGATACATTGCTAATTGCCAGCAAGCATTGCAAATATGGTCGGTAGGAGAGATCTAGAATAAAAAGAATAAAATGATACATTATGGGTAGATAAC